TCGTACAGTATAGCCATTCACGGGTGATGTCCCTAAATGAAAACCTATATACACCATCCCCTGCCATTGGCATTAATGAGCCAGTTTTGCTAAAAGACCCCAAGCTACAGTGGGTCAAGCCCTTTGTAGCATGGTCAATTAGTTGCTTGTTGATTTACCATTTGAGCTGCCCCATCTCACCCGTCACACTAGTCACATGTAGGCCTTTGCTGTGATACAGCATACCATTGGCATATGATACAGCTCTGGGATTAAGGAGAGACAGAATGAACTGAAGGATCCATAAAAACAAGTATGACCAATTATAAAACAAGCCAGTTTCAAAGTTCACTTTCTGTGCCAGTTCACACCTTGTATTCAAAAATACTGATCGACAGCGGTGTCACAGCCTTGACCTTCTGTCAAACTTACAATTAGTTCACTGCTAACGTGTTAACTTTTGCGTTTATGCTAACATTTCATAAGGTCCAGACAGGCAATTCCAAGTGAGAAGTCTCATCATGTGATAATCATGTGACCTTGTGTCATTCCTTTGAGCAATAAGGAAGTTAACCAGCTGATGTTGCTTTCCAGCGGTCATTTACGTTGTAATAAAAAGCTGTTTCCAGCTCAAGTTATCTTGCATTAGTTGAAATACATGTGGCATTACTGCTTAGACAGATTTGTTGCAGAAAAGCACTTTAAACAATTATTATTTAGTGTCGTTGGTTACTGCTCTCTACTTTAAAGCTACAATAAATAAGTTTGTATGACACTTATCATCTACTTATCCTTAAATCCTGCATGTAATTGTGGCTTCTTGCAAAAAAAAAAAAAAGGTGGGAATCGACCCAACCTATATAACGCTACGTAGCTCCTGCTCAGGGCAATAAGCTAAATCCAATTGACACTTTAATAACGACTAGCCATAATGTTATACCAGCCAATAAAGACTGCTTTAATAAAAATGGTCACATGTTCTGCTCAGTTAGCATTATTCCTCGTTTGGTCCGGTCCATTCAGTTAAAGCAAACAGCGTACGTAACCAAACTGAGCTAACGTGAAAAGCTAACGTATGTAGTCGTCATCCGCTAGCTAGCTGGCTAACTAGTCTTGACATGTCTTTGATTTCTGTGGTTGGAGCATAAACGTATACTAACTAAACAGCTCCGTGTTACAAATAAACCAAAGTCACTGGCTGCCAGCAGTAAAACCAAACGTTAAATAAATGACAGCTCGGGATTAGCATTGTGACGTTAACGTTAGCAAGGCTAGCATATGGCTTTTACAAGTGAGCTTCAACAGACACACCGTGGTTGACAACTCAAAGTGCCCTACTGGGAATAATACAAAAGCAAAAAGGAGTTAGCAGCAAAGGCACACAGAACCAGATGGAAACAAGCAAACAGCATAAATATGAAGGGTGATCGTGTGATAATTACCGCTGAACACCATAGCCGCAGAGGCACCCATCACTGCGAAGAACGGAGAGTACTCGGGGCTTTCGGCCGACATTCTTTCTCACACAATATAAAAATAAACTAAATATACAAAATTAATTATTAAGGTCAACTCAAAAATCGCACTTCGCAAAACCTATCGAAGGCCACAGGCTTGAAATGTAAAACTGTGTATACCAGGAACCGTCTGACCACCCAACTAGCAGTGTAAACGGGATAGTCACGACTCTTCTGATAAATACCCGGCGCAGCAGTACAAAATGGCGAAGCGGAAAATATCACCTGACTGGCCGTACGGATAAAACCTATCATCGTCTGAGTGCGGGGGGGGTTGCACTAAAACAAGGTTCGTTAATGATAGACTGTGCTACACGACGCATTTATGAAGCAAAAAGTGTGTATTTAAATGTATAAATTACGTATTCCGTACAAAGAAACTAATTTATGTTTTTGTTGTGTTTTTTTTATTTTTTTAAGGTCACCCCTATCAGGCGTCACTTTGGTGTGCTCCGCTGCAGGCTTCCCCTTTGATGTCAACGCATTCACCCTTCAAAAGCAGAAAGATGCATTGATGGGGATGAGCAAGAGGGTGTGGAGACACAGCCAATGTAAAGAAAAAAAAATTTTTTTCATCCTAGCTATCAAGGAAAGACAACCAAGAAAATACACCATTTATTTCAAATGCCTAAAGATATTAAGTTATAAATCAGACTGGTCCTATATGTAAAATGAATATCATGCTCCAAGAGAACCCCACAGTTGATTTAATTGCCCTCTCCAAATACTGAAATTTCTAATGTTGCATATGTTGAAACACATTTCTGCATTCTGCACAAGGACTGAATGTGGCAGAGAGTGGTTTACAGTCAGCTGTGATATGCAGCAAGGTGGAGCGTGAGAGTGAGAGAATTTGAGGCTGAGTGTGTATGTTTGAGCGTGTATGTGGTGGGGGGAGGGAATCGAGAATCCCCATTCCACTGTATAGCTCCCAGCAAGTGCAAGCTCGGAGATCCAGAAAGAGGAGGAGGGGTCGAGGGAACTAGGATACCATAGGAGAGTTGAAGTGTGTGTGTGTGTGTGTGTGTGTGTGTGTGTATGAGTCAGACAGAGCTAGTGCAGTCCCCATGCCTCCTCCTCCTCTTCCTCCATCACTCCATCTTTCTCCCTCTGCATTGCCTAGTCTAGTCAGCACTAGAGAAGGACCCCTCCCCCAATATCCCTGTAAAGCCCCTTCACTCGTGATGCAATTTCTACACCAGATTCACAGGCCTCCTTCCTGTCAAACATCTTACTCTGGCAGCCAAATGCAGGGTTGCAACAAGGATAGATCATTTTAGTGCAGAGATGATGTGTGTGTGCAGTGGTGCGTTGATAACAAAAAGGTCACAATGATTGAACTGATTTTCACATAATTTTCTCTTTCTCTGCTGGCTGACTGACTTATTGACCCAGGAGTTCCTCTTTCAGGTGGATAGGGATGTAGCCTCTCTGTTGAGGTCGGATTATGATGTCCCTGCCTGGGGTAGGCTGTATATTCACCAACATTTGCAACCAGCTCATATGACAACATGCGGTTATACGATAACCCATGTATCTACACATCGTCGTTTCCTGTTTGTTTTGGATGGATGGATACAAGGATTAGGTGGATGCTCTTGTCTTTGAGTGGCACTGATCACTGGGTAGTTAAAGAAAAGGACAGGAACACGCCATTTGATGGTCGATCTTTGAGATGCTGTTCAAGGAACGGAAACAGGGAAGTGAGAGATTCTCATGAGGGCATCATTTGATCAAGATATAATTCAAGATGCACCATAAAGCATTTACTACTAATTGTTAATGTACAGTATGATGTGATTCTAGATATACAGGCAACACTGCTAATGTGATTCTAGATGCATATCTTTCATCTTTATGTAGTTCTGGTACTTTTATAGACATAAGACCAGGATATAGTTTGACAGAGTCCTACTCTGTGTGAGATTTGCCCAGCACCTATAAAGGAAGTCACTGAGCTGAGGTACTCTGTGGTTTCAGCATGACCAAAAACATAACTCTGTCTTTCATTCTCACGGGGTTGAAGAACTCAATCATTTCCAATCATTTTCAAAATGCTAATATTGTGGAAAATCTTTAATCCTGTATTAATAAGAAATATTTGCTTTCCTATATGATATTAATTAGGCTGAAAAGAAAGATGTAACTATTTATCCTGAAGGACAGATTTGTGGTCAGTAACACTGGGCAATTATTGGAAGCAGAGACCTCTCTCTCTCCCAATAACCACAATATTCAGTCTGTGAATCAAAACAATGTCTGGACCTCCTTAGTCTGCCTCTTAATCCCCTGTCCACAGCCACGTTAGTATCTGGGGGGCGGGGGCTGGTCAAGGAGAGACCCATCTCAGTGTAGGGTTAGTTAAACACTTAAGCATCTTACTTCTGGTGGAAAGCATGGTTTTCAGGAGATGCGCCAGACCAACACCCAAAGGAGCAGCTAAATATAGACGTGCATGTGCGATTAGCAGAGTGTGAATCCTGAATGAACAGCACAGCCTTGGCAAGATGGAGTCAATGCCACTTACAGTAAAGAAGGAATTACTCCACCACTTTGCCATCTAAGATACTACATCTTTCCATGTGCATTAGGCTGTGCCACACCCACTGACAAATGAATTGTCCATATATTTTAATAGAGCTTTAATGTACAGTATTGACATTTTGCCATTTTATACTGACATGTTTAATTAAATGTCTGACAAAGATGTCAGAGGATCGGTCGCTAACTGACATTTGCCAAATTTGTATTCTATACAGCAAATGCAGTGCCTGTGAGGTGGGTCCTGTTTGACAGAAATCAAACAATGATCTGCAATACAGCTGATTATTAAAAGGAGAAGGCTTTTTACAGATATATTTGTAAGTATATCTGACTCATCTCTGCTAAATATTTCCAGTCATGCAGTTCACTGTCAGCTTCCACAAAGCAGAGACATCCAAACAAAAAATAGACAGTGTGCATCAAGAAGCGTGTATGAGTAATTCAGTAGTCACACAGTTAAGGTTTTAGACCCAGACTTACCTATGGTAGATATGTCATATTCAACATTTTCATTTCATTATCTGCTAAAACTAGTGTTGAGTCTAAACTATGATGTTCTCCCTACCACTTATGGTTTTCATGTAGCAGGGATATGCAAGTTTTCCTCTAAAATTTAATTTGAAAATGATAAACATACAGTTTTTGGTGCTAAAATGTGCACAGAAAACATCACTTTAACAAAAATAACTGTGTAACAGGGTTTTTACTACACAAATTACAATATAAAATTGTAACTTTATTATAATGATAAAACAGTAATTTTGGGAACAGGCTTACTAGCTGTGACTATAGGAGTAGAGCAAAACACAAGAAGATGGGTATTAGGGAGTCAGATTCATGGTCAGCTGACTTTAAAAGGCATCTGGCACACTTCTGTGACAGTCTAAAGAAATGTAACCCTCTCTTTGCAGGGACAGGGATGTGATAGAACAAAAGCAGTTAGTAGCAAGACAACAAAACTGAAAGCATATTGCTGTATTTGCACATAGTAGAATACATCTGTAGTTACTCAACTGATATTTCACTGGATATTTTCACTGGAGCACATGTTCGAACATACAGATACAAACTGGGTGTGTAACCCGAACAACACTCAGGGCACAATTTTGGACTTATTTTGTTTCACACTGGAAAGGACGGAAGTAACAGGAAAATGATCAAAAGAAAGATGAACAAACTGCATTTATATCCAGTACTTGTAAACCAAAAACACCTCTTTCTTTCTTTAAAAAAAAAAAAGTTTGTACTGTTATTCACATGAATATTCATAAACTATACAAAAGGAGAAACTGCCACTCTTTCAACAAAAAAGCTTTGAGATACGGTATAAATTGGCAACACTCAAATTCACCACTAATATTCACAAACACATACCACATTTTTTCATACATTTTTCATTTAGCAGATCTCCCACATATGTACAACAAATCAAGTGTGGGAAAATGTGACAGGACTTGAGCAAAAATGTTGCAGACCTGGTACAACTTCACCACCTCATAATCTCAGTATTCCGACATTTAAAAACACGTAACCAAATTAACTCTTGACTTCATACGTTTTATCGTAAACCTTCATTCATCAACGTGGTCTGGTGAATTACATATTTTAAGGACTGCAGAGCTACCTATACAGTAAATTTGGCAGATTGAGCTCAACCACATAACACAGAAGACTGAATTTACATTCAGAAATTCAATTGTTTCAGCTCAGAAAGACCATGAACACATCACAAAACCCTAAAATGAGCATTAAATCGGCTTTATGTAGAGTTGATCCTGAACACTTTCTTTATATTACCACACACTTTAACATAATTAGTACACCATAATACAAATCTGTAAATACAAAAAATTAACAGAAACACATAAATATCACATTTATTCACGTTGAAATTTGGACTAACTGCATTAATAAATAAAAAAGTTAACCATATAAGAATTTCAAGGACGGATGTAGTTTTGTTTGCATATCTATGTTTTTCCACCAACGCTTCGCTGGACATTTTATATCAAGATTTTCTGCTTTAATATGTTTTAAGGGCTAAAATGTGTGTGCATGAATATGCACATAAGAGTCCATGTCTGTATGGATCTACATGAATGTACGTGTGCGTACAGCATTACGCGGCCATGGCATCCTGGAAGCCCCACACTTCTAGCAGTGCAACCTGAAAGCTCTCAGCACAGAGGGGTGGGTTGTCAAAGGTGGCACATCTGCCAGTGCGTCCATGGTTGAGTTCAGAATCAATGTAGAGAGCGTTGCCTTCACCTCCCCCTGATCAGAGAATAGCACAGTTTGTATAAGTTACAAATCAAGTACAAAAATGTGATCCCATTGTTTTAGATGAAAATTGAAAAATCCTCAACTCCACTGCACCTGTCGTGTAACTAAAAATCATGAAAGAGAAGTACCCAATAACATACAGCAATAATCCACTTACCCACTATGATGGAGTCAAAGTTGCCAGCCATGAACATGGAAGTATTCTTGCAGTTGAGGTTGAAGTGGCGGGCAGAGAGGAAGGGTGACAGGTCTCCAGCAGGTTTCTCTGGCTGCGGTAAGCTATTGTTTTCTGCGTTTTGACCCTCAGATGGAGCTGTGTCTTCCTGGTCCTGAGTCTTGATGGAGGAGGCTAACTCAGGATGGCGAATCACCACCCACTCATAGCGCTCCATCTCTGGTTTCAGCTAGGAAGGGAAACAGGCACTCATCACTAACTACACCCCAGAGCATCAAACAATAAACAGAGTAATACTGCACATTTATTTACATTATAAATTCATATTTCCTAGTATCACACTAATACAAGGTGATAATACATGTATCTTAAATACGAGGTGATAATACATGTATCTTAAATACAAAGCAACTCCCTGATTCTATGCATAAACAGGCCGATGCTTCATGTGATGACCTGACTACTACTTAATGGATTGATAATGGAGTTAATGTTTAACTGAAAGGAGATGCATTTATCTATAAAGGGTATACTACAAAATCTGCCTCATTACTTCTGCACTTTTGTCTCATTTAAATAAAGTACTATTGAGATCATGATCTCAATGCGCTACCTGTCTAAATGAAGGATTAAACATAGTAAATAAAAAACATTTCATTGACATCAGTCCTTGACTGTCTTGGTTTCTTTTGAGTGTCAGGTGATCAGATACTACTGGATCAGGTTACAGGAGTTTTCCGATCTGCATGTGCTGAAGTATTAGTGTGTGAGATGATGGCGTTTTCTGGTGTGCAGGTTCAGACAGCCCACAGCTGTGCATCAACACAGATAGCCACGTAAATAATTCACACAGAAGGCATTAGAGAGGCAGGCTGCTTTGCTATTTCTAGCCCAGGTGTTATTCAAACCAAATGCTGCACTATCACCAGCAAAACACCATGTGGTGTGCTTGTTTTTACAGAGGAAGACATGGTGAATTGTGACCCACAAGGCAGGCTTTTCTAAATGAGAAATGCCAACTGGGTCCAGTGACACTGAAATCAAGCACATATGAATCCAGAGTAGATGGTGCCCTCTGGTGGCTATAGTGTGGCACTGCTAAAACTTTTTTTCTTCAATTGACCTCTAAAAACCTTCTTAAAATTCACAGAAATGAACAGAAAATGTTTTGCTGGTCAAGTCAAGGCACTAAAAATAAACTCACCCTGAAGACAAAACACTCCCCTGTGCCAAAGAAACTCAATTTGTTTCCTCCTCTCTTCCGCTCCTCCCAGTCTGTGGACAGGAAGGCTCCACATACCTGAGGCAAAAAAAAGAGTAATTAGTGAGTTTATCTTTTTTGAAATTTGCTCATCTGCAATGGCTTCAAACACTGAAATACTATATTGTACTAGTGGAAGATGTTGTTTGTATGCTCCAAGCGTTTGCACTGGGATCCCTTTGTAGCACCATAATCCAATCATACGTCACCTGTGTAATCATGACCTCCGACACCAATTCACAGAGCCCAGAACAAGAATAACACCTGAGTCTACTTTGAAGTGCACAAAGCTACTGTGATCATATAGTACACACCAAAACCAATAGCAAGTTTTGCAAAGGTGGCTTTTACTGGCCAAACATGAGAGTTGCTAAGACCAATTTACTAGCATGTTCCCAATTTGACACCCATAAGAGTGTGAAATAGGAAGTGGCTGAAACAGAAACTAGTTTATTAGAGAAATACTGTTTTATACTGGCCCTACTATAGCTCACTTTGTACCTTAAAATATAAGTAATTCTGTCCTAACTAAAGTTGAGGACATAATACAAGATTTACACAGTATTTAACACAATATTTGGCTATCAGTAACAACAAGGTTGAGAATCTTGACTATTAATGGGTATCTATGACTTTCTCCTACATGGGGGAATCATGGGAGAGTTTTATGTCATTGTGTGTGTTGCTCACATCGCCATCTGTGGTCCGGATGAGGAGCAGAGTCGGTTCGTGGCCTTCACAATGTGAGTAGAATCTGGAGAAAAATTTAATGGTAAAGTTTAATTCATTGCAACCTACTTAATAAACATTTAATACTGCATTAAATATATTTTATGGATTATATACTTGCAACAGTCGTGTACTTAGGGTTTGCTAGATTTACTAAAGCACACGTGCATGCACAGTTAAGTAAGACACTGATTAAATATAGCTAATGGTTTCCTTACTTACTTATTACTTTATTAGAGAGTAATTACATCTGTTCCATATAAAAATAAATGAACTATCAGGAGGGTGAAAGAAATTCTCGACATAATGACTGCATGATAATTAAGGCCCACTGGTTACAGCAGAAATAAGCTGTTACGTATATAGAACAGGTTTAGGCAAAAAAGTCCAGAAAAGTACAAAACAAAATCACTTTACTTTCTTTTTATCCTTTGTACTTCAAGCACAAAAGTAAAACAATAGACTCAATTCTAAGCAAGGCTAAAATATAGATCGTAAGCAGCAGCCAAATGCTGGATGCACTGAGTTGTGAACTTGACAGTGTACCTGTTCAGGCTGCAACCATGGGTAGCGGTGGTGAAGAGGAGTTGTGGTTGGCACAGGGCAAAGCGCTCAGGAATCCATGACCAGATGTCCCGCATTTCCTTGGCGCTAACAATCTCAGAGGAGAAGGTGTCAGGGTTAAGAGCCAGCTGCACGTTCCGCCTGGAGACGCACCAGAAATATGGACACAGAAAGAAAAAGAGATGATACAGAGTACCGAATATGAGGCAGTTGGTGATGCATTAACCATTAAATGTAATTTTAAACAGAAGATGGTGTGAATGTATTCAAAGTAATGACAGTAAATGAGCATTATTTGAACAAAAACATAGAAATGGATCTGGAGAGAAGCATAGAGAAGAGAACCCACCTAAAACTGTGAAATAGCCAATGTAGTAAACAGGAGTGGAGTGAAGAGGAGACAAATGTGGCACAAACCAAACAAAAAGGAAACAACATAATGTGAGACAAGGATGCAAGAGCAACTTAAACCATTCCTCACAGCATGGCAGAGTATAAAGCTGAAGAAGAACAAGACATTCTAGCCAATGAAGCAAAGGAAACTGCTTGAGTGATTAAAAATATATTCTTGTGTGTACACTTGTGCTAAACTGTATAAAAAAACATCTAAATTGGTCCTGTACGTTTTTTATCATTGCATTCCTCTCATTCTGTGCATACCGCTGTGATTTAATTTATAGTCCAGCAACTTTGTAGTACATTTAATCATTACATTTAATGTTCAAGAATGTCCTTTCTAACCACAGCAATAGATATATGGGTAGATAACTAAATTTCATTTTGAATCATAAAAGGAATTCTTAGTGTGTCCCTGTCATCTCAAATCAGTTCATGAATGCACTATGTCCAAGTGCTTACTGCCCAAGCATTGTATCTTCACAAGAAGTAGAGACACCAAGCCCGTGATCGGCCTCATTATAAGGTTAGCCAAACATAAAAGAAAAGATGGATATCTATAGCTTTATATTTTGAATCAGTCTCACAAGGCCTCTGTCAAATCCAACAATGTTTTTAAGTGAGATAATGCTCCTTGATGACAAAATATATTATAGATGTGTACACCAGCAAGATATAAGATGTGATGGATTCTGTCCTTACTGTTGCTAGATATGCAGTAGGTTTGCCAAGTTAGATAACTAGAAGCAGTGTCCTAGTTTCTAAATAAAAGCGCACAGAAAGATGTTCACAACTGACCACATAAAAATCACATTATTGACTATACCGCTTCTGTTTGACGGTGATTCCTTTCTGCTGCAGGGACTTTTCATTTGCGAGCTGCAGCAGGGTGATCTCCTTGCGGCTTAACAGACGGATGGAGAAGGCCTTCTCTAGCAACTTGTCAGGTGTGACGGTGGAGGCAATGCCTTTGACGAAAGCTTGGATGTCTGCCCTAACTTTGGCTGAATCCTGCTGCTGCTGGTTGCCCTGGCCTCCCTGGGCCCCTGCTTTATGCTTGCGGTAGAACTTGAGCAAGGCTATGGCCACACGGTAGAGAATCTTGTAGCCCTCTACTAGGTAGACATCGAAGATCCTGACCATGTGACTGAAGGGCAGGTCACCCAACACCCAGCGCTGCCAGTCTGAGTAGACTTCCATCACATCCTGGGCTGTGGCCACAATCAGTTTGTGGCCGGCTGCGCAGTACTTGTTGGCCAGGTCACCAAAAGTCATGCAGCTGGACTCATAGGCCAAGAAAGTCTGGTCCAGCAGTCGTTTGCCCGGCTCGTTGCAGGCCAGCATGCGGCTGACATGTTCAAAACACTGGGCTTCGTCTATGCTGAAGTGCAGGAGCAATGAAGTAACTGCCGGTAGTGATGGGCAGTGGGAGATATCTGGAAACTGTCCAGCCACGCAGTTGATAATCTGATGGGCCGAGGCTACTGCCTCTGCCTTCAGGGAGTACCGTGGTACAGGACTTCCATCCACAAAATCTGGAAGTGGGATGTGGGAGGAGGGCTTCTTAGTGGCTGCATTTCCCATAATGTCACGATATACTTCTGCATCTGGGGTAACGGTACGACAGGGAATGGCTTTGATGAGCTGTTGGTAGACTTGTGCCCGTAGTTTGTGGTTTTTGGCCCAGTAACCCTGCCGAGCCATCTGTTTGAACTCTTTTAGGTCTTTACAGTCTACCTTGGTGGGCCCGCTGCTCTTGGCCAGATCCCCCATCTGGTTCCAGTCCACAAAGCTGCCATATTCTTCTTCAGCCATGGTGCTGGAAACTTGCTGGACTGTGGGAAGTGGGAAGAGAGGAGGGATGCTCCGGGGTATTACTAACCTTCTGTCCTCCACACAGCAGATAACTAGCCTATTTTTCTTAACTGCCCATGATGGTTACTGGAAGACACAAAGAAGAAAAATAAGAGATCAATGTGGTTAATCATAAAAATAAACCAATAAATAACTGCAAAAACAAGTCACTCTGTCAGCAGCATCATTAAACTTTCAAAAGTTATGTCTGTTTCATACTGAGCAGTATAAAAAAAGAGTTCTAAAATCTCTTTGATCTACAAAACCCACTCCTTGGTGAATTCCTACAAGCCTAACTGTTGTTGTATAGATGGCTAACTCATATAATAAGATATGACTTAGTTGAGGATAATACATAGTTTGGAGATAGTTAAATCTATTTATGCATATCTGCTTCCATAAGAGTTGATTTGCAACAAGTTAGGGATGTATTACAAACTGGCCACAGTAGATCTGTAGTGTACCACAACATTAGCCAATGATCAGATTGATGCTCTGGTAAAGATCTCCAGATGGAAAAAAAACTTGTTTATTATGCATGTCATTATTTGAAGTGAAAACAAATCAAGTAAACCCATAGGTCGAAAGGAATGCAGTGCAAGGCTATCTTGGTGATACCATATGACAGCCACAAAACGATTCAGATGACCCGTGATGCAGAAATATATCTTGGACAGATTTAATTAGTCAGGCAAAGTTTGATACTTAAATTAAACTGGGATCTCTGGTGGTCAGGGCTCAAAATTAAATATTACCCTCAGTGCTCCACAACTGTCTTGGATTCTATGTTCAGCTGTCCCAGACTTAACAACCATTGTCCCAAATTGAAGTTGTTTTTTTATGCATAATAATAATAGAGTAACTCGCATCGCTTCATTGACTCACTCCTGGTCCATCACGGAAGTTCAGCGAGTTGTTAATTTAGCCAAATAATGACAAACTAACTACAGGAAAATTTGCTAAATTTGTCGCTAATTTTGTTGCTCATCACTTCTTAAAAATAAAGAGGGAGCCTAACAGGGTCTGAAAAGTCTCTAAATCTAGTGAGAAAGTCGCCAAGTTGGCAATAGTCTCTATGATTGATTTTGTGTGTGTAACCGTGCGTGATGTAGCGTCACTTCACAATTTTCACTGCTGATGGCGAGGTCAATATAAACATTTTGTATGCTGTAAAAACTTAGCACCCTAGCAATAGACTTAAAAACTGATTCCATAATTAGATAATTCCCCACCCGGGTAAACCCACAAGATACATGGAGATGTCCAAAGTCCATCTGCAGTATACAGTATACTGAGAATGGTTGTTGTACAATCATCAAATCATTTAACACTGTTTTCCAACAATGTCACATGGAAATGCATGTCCAAAGATCACTTGCAATATACTGAAAATGACAGTCATAAAATCATCAGATCATTTCCCTCTGCCCTCTGCCCTGTCACATGGAGGTGCATAATAATACATGACTGCACGTAAAACTAGTATACTTAACCCAGCATCTATACATGCAAAGGGAGGCAAGGCAGCATTGAGTATATATATGCCTACAGTAACATGCTTAGCTGTCATTAAGTTCAACTAGCCAACATTTAAACCTTAGTGCTGTTAAAGGACCAGTGTGTAGGTTTTAGTGGCATCTAGTGGTGAAGTTGCAGATTGCAACCAACCAAATGCTGCTTGTGTCTGTATTTGAAAACCTGGGAATGCGTACGGGGAACGAAGTGTGTAGGAAAAACTACTGAGGCCGAGAAACTTGGGAAAAATGCCCTATCTGTAGCCACTGTGTGGTTTGTCCATTCTGGGCTACTGTAGAAACATGGCGGTTCAACATGGCGGACTCCATGGAAGGCGACCTGCAGAATCTGTAAATAAAATCGGCTCATTCTGTGGGAACGAAAACATGATTCCTATATTCAGGTTATTATACACTAATGAAAACACACCTATGAATATTATATTCCATTTCTGCCAATATTTTACACACTGGACCTTGACTTTAAACTGGGGGACCACTTACAACATGGTGACAATTTATCTTTGCATACTGTACAGGAATGCTACAGTTGCTGTATGTACCATGACATGACTGAATAATATGATTACCTCTTTGGCCATACAGGCACAACAGTATGCACAGCCAATGGATGTAGATAAAAAAAAAAAATAAATGACATTACGTTTGCATACTTACTAATCCAAAGATGAAGTATCTATTGCAAATTACATTTTAATACTTAAGATTCTGAATGGAAAAGAAAGCTGATTATTAGCCTTAAAAAGGGAAGCTTATTGGAGCTGACACACTAAACTGTACTTCTGCAAAACTGGACACACGTTGCTGCAGGCGAATCCACGACTTACACTTTCATCCTGGAGGCTCAGCAAATACATAGAGCACATAAACGTTAGTGTGGCTCCCAACCTGTCCCCAACCTGTCTCCAACCTGTCCCCATAAACTGTGTCAACACACACTGCATTGACGGATGTTACGCAAAGCTGCACATTTTCACTCGAACAATCTCTTAACGTTAGCTCGCCAGCTGATGTAGTGGCTAACACGTTAGTGGAAGCCAGTGCACACGGGTCACAGGGTATTTAACATTACCGCCCGAGTAAATCTGATACACCCTTTTCCATTCACAGCGGCCAAGTTAGCATTGCTAGCATTAGCTAGCCGCAAGTTGCTGCTGTCAGTGCATGTCAGCGGCAAACCAGACCTTAACCAGACACACAAAACTAGCTGCCAGACAACATAACATGCAAGACAGACGCGAAACCATGCACACATCGACCGACCACACAACGAGTCAGTAAGTTAAAATATGGTGGCTAACGCTGCTGCACCAGCTAGCATGAATGTTACCAACCACAAATTCATTTGGTCCGCAGGCTGTCTTGGAGTTTGTTGCTGTGGAGAGATTTCGGCTTGAATTTGTGGGAAAAGCGATGCATTTAAACCCAGAGTCGGTGACAGGAGCAAGCATTACCTCCACCCTACAATACCGAACAGTGGTAAGCAAATGATGAGTAACTAACAGCAAGGAAACTCACGTTGTCCTTACCTGGATGTGAGATGTCTTGAGACGTGACAGCAGCATTCATATTAAGTTGCCTCGAGCATGCGCAGTGCATCGGGTCTCTGTCAGTGAGAGTGCTGCTGCTGGAGCTGCAGAAAGGGGCTCAGGTGGGTTGGTTAAACATACTCTGTTTACAGCCACTGCACTGTGTACTCTGGTAATTCACAGGAGTAGAAGAACTTCTCTTATAAAACAGTGACAGAAATGAAAGACTGTGAATGAAGAAAACCAGGTAGGTTATAGGCTATTACACATACTGTAGTCATTATGTGCTCTACATATTAATATAAACTAACCACTTATAGACCTATTACATACAAATATCTGCACCTTAATAAAAATATGCAGACTGGAGTATTACAGGAATGTCACAAGATGTTAAAAACACCCAAAAATATGATGTCCTATTGTTAACCCAACACAAATATTAGCCTATTCCTTATGGCTTAGCCTGCTTACAGAACCCAACTTACACTGCTGTGACCACATAGAGGTTGCATGACAGATCACAGTATCTGATTTGTCTTGTTTTCTTGCAGACATGCTCTGTGAAATAAGTGATGGCACTGGGACAGGACAGGAAGTACCCTAGCAAGGGCAACAAACCATGCCTTTGTCCTGTACTCAAAGCAACCGCCCAACACATGACAGTTATTACTGATGATTAAATTGTGGAAGCATCATTGCCTTCCACAACAACTCAGGGTAAAATGTTGTTTCGGCCTCGTCCTGTCTCTCTTAGCTGATGTTTTTCATGTCCTCCTTTACTGTGACCATCTTAGTACTGCAATAGTGAATAAAGAGTGCACCTTAGCTAGAAAATTAGTGACATTTAAAAATCTTCAACTCTGACATCCGAATAACATCTGTAATAATACTTAATTTCTTTTAAAACTTTGCCTATTCTTCCTTTTTTTTGTTTGCTAAATCTCAAACTGTACCAGCCACTTTTCTGACATGAGACCATCTACTGTAAGTTTATACAATCTTAGAACAAGGGTTGTCTATATGCTGATGTGTGATGTGTAGGTAATCTTTCAGCCTTTGCCAAATATTTAGCAGCATTTGGCTGGAAGCTGGAGTTAGTTTCCCACCCAAAATAATAAAAGATAGATCAACATCTCAGCACCCATTATACTGCAAAGTATTAGACTTCTTCATGATATTGATTGTGTTTTGTTTTGTTCACTGTAAACAGCTTGTGCTGATCTATTTGGCACTATAGAAGACAAAAATCATGTCACATGAGATAAGCAGAGCATCCTAATCTGCAGGAACTCTTCCTGATGATTTCATATTTCATTTGTGTCCTTAACATGTGGGTCAGACTGAGACATACTCGTATTCTCCCCAGACATTGTGTCTGTATGCATGTGTGTTTTGGTTATGTGAAATTGGTTTGTGTACTGTATCTGTGAGTGGGTAGTGATTATTAAGAAAATTTGAGGAAATTGAGGGAAAATGAGAAAAAACATTAGTGAGTATGAAGAATTGTCAGCGAGTGTGTACGTGTGTGTATTAGTGTGTGTGAGAGAGACAGGGAGAAAGAGAGAGGGAGAAAGAGAGAGGGAGACAGAGAGAGAGAGAGAGAGAGAGAGAGAGAGAGAGAGAGAATGAGAGAGAGAGACAGATGGGTGCAAAGCCAGTAAGCCTTTAGGTCTTAGCTTATGGAGGTTTATGCTCATCAAATCCTTTTGCTCCCACACACTGCGTGACATCACTCCAGTCCCACCCCATCCTCCTGTCTCACACACGCATACACACAAGACTGGTAGTATATACAGGACCAGGCCCTGACACAAGAACATTAAACAGTTTACTTTAAAATGTGCAATTGTACTGAACTCAGCAACTCTCACCAACTGTCCTTGAACAAGGTACTAAATGAAGCTACTTTTCTTGACTTTTATCATTGTGAATTGAATACCTTTGTGGTTTGATTTTTTTTTGTGTTTTTTTTACTGTTGGTCAGACAAATTAGCAAAAATGTGTTAAATTAGTTTATTAATAACACAATCAATAGATAAATGCATTTTTAACTGGAGCTTTGTAGGTCACTCTCAACAAACTGTAGATGAGTTATATAGTATTATCCCAGCTAGGAGGAATTCATTGTCAAATGTGGTTTGATCGGTTTGCCGCCTGCATTTGACCTGGTAAACCTCCACTCAGCAGGTTTATCTACACTGACATGGAGGAGCAATGTCAGCCAATCAGGATTCAGTGTTGGTGCTGCTTGCGTATTTAAGAAATTGGTACACTAACTGGTTCGTAGCATCACCATATGTCAGCTGACTGAGCAAGAAAATCCTTCCCTGAGTGACATATGTGTCCTATCTATGTCTGTCCAAATAGGATGTTAATTACTTAAATGGTGTGGAAACTTTTGGCATGCTGTATGGCACTGTGATCTGTAGTCCTCCTAATTACTGTTGCATGCTTATTCTCATGATCATATGCAAACTTTAAACAGATCACAATACCATGTTTGTTTCCCTAATAATTTTTTTAAATATTTTTCTTTTGAATTACAAAATACTGTCTGTCTCCTGAAAGCAGTCATGTTATACCAATGAAAACATACAATATATCTTTCAACCATGAGTACTCAAGAGTTCGATTTTTCCAGTGCTTAGGAATTTGTAGTTAAGCTGTATTTCCTTTTCTTATTCACATCCCCAGTTCAGGTTCTGTCCTACTTAAATACCTTGGCAGTGTGGTGGCCTCTTTAGGTACGTGAGACTGGTCTGATCTGCAGTTAACCTGTGTGGATTTTTTCCACTTGTTGCTAATAGGTGATTTTAGGGCCTTGTCACCATAAGTGCAAGGTTTCTAGTTGTGCGTGATTAAATAAACCAGCAATTTGACACAAAAAAAAAAGCTGTTGATTCTCAGTGACACATAGTTGTCTTTCAAAAATGTAAATGTAAAATGTAATGTAAATGTAATCCAAAATGAAACTTTTAAAGAAATAAATGCATTAATTCCTGTTTCATTGAATTATTTGACAATTGCAACACAACACAATAAGTCAGAATTAAACTTAACTTAACAACTTTTAATTGTTATCTATAAAGTTTCCACTGCGTATTTTCTTGTGTCTATTATATTGCTTACTATTGTTACTGTCATTAAATTTCTACTGTCTTTTGTCTGCATTGTGCCATTCAGTGCCAGAGGTTTTCACCATTTGAGCTATTTAAATTAGCTCTCTGCTTGAGTATCAATTCACAACCAAGGCTTAAGTCTAGCCAGCAAGACTGAAAGAAACTGTGTCACCCAATAGCGTGGGCTCCATTGTATCCGTGAAAGGCCTAAGCAGCACTCTGGGTATTGTTTTCTTTAAAGGGGAGTCAGGTTACCTTGACAACTGCAAGATGCCTACCCATAGGCCCATAGGAGAGAGAAAAGGCACGGCCAGAGGAGGGAAAGAAAGCGAAAAGAGACAAAAAAGGAGGCAAGATACTTCACAGCCCCAACTTTATTTCCTTTTTTTTAGCTGGTGTGTTTTGAAAACAGGCTCGATGGTTGCCAGTGGGTTGGGACAGAGACCCAAGGAGGTGAGGATGTGTGTGTGTCTGTGTGTGTGTGTGTGTGTGTGTGTGTGTGTGTGTGTGTGTGTGTGTGTGTGTGTGTGTGTGTGTGCGGTCGTCCATGTGCTGGTTTGTCTTTCTATCTGTCTCACATTGACACACAACAGCAACTTGGTGGCAACAGTTTTGTTTTCTTTAGGTTCAGTACTTCTGTCAGTTTAATGAACATGTTATCACACTGGAAGAAAGACCACAGGCTTAAAAGGGCTTTCAAGGCCAGTCATGCCGCCAGTAGCATTACTTTGAAATCGATTAATGCCTAAAGAATTTATTGATGTATTTCATGTGGAAAGTGTGAGCATGCATTTGCAATTTAAAGAAACATGGATCTTTAGTGCTTTAACCAAAATATGGGAGAGGAAAATGTAGTTGTGTAATATCTCTGCTGATATGACTATACATTTGTTACTGAGCATTTACTGGTATTTGAAATGTCCTTGTTTTGACAGTGAGAGCCAACATCCTGTAAACAGAGGGCCATGCATGTTGCACTGCGGCCTCGCAGGTAAGGCTGAGCATCATTAGATCAGTGGCCAGGAAGTAGTAAATAGAAAGGAACTATTGCAGCTCACCTCATCCATGCTGGTCCCTGCACTGTGCACCGACATTTTACTTATTTACTTACATATTTACTTTATTAATCTTGAAATGACTCACTCAATTTTTTACACACACACACACACACGCACACACACACCACACACACACACACACACACAGGCCATATATCTCACAAACACACACAAGGCTTATAGACATGCAAGAGATGGGCTGCAACATAGTGGCGCCCTGGGAGTAGGGGAGTTAGGGATTTGGTGCCTTGCTCAAGGGCATTTTGGCAGCTGATAGGTCTGAGTGGCACCTCAAGGCTGATTGACAAGGCTAATATAATGCGTAATTGACTATATTCATAATCATGTCTTCCTCTTACATATAGCCGGAGCTCTCGCTAGAGCATGAGACATCACCGACAGTAGATATCAGGCCAACTATCACAACGTAATCTGCTTTAACATGATTTCTCATGTGCAGCTTTACAGCTGTGTTACTTTTCCATACTGTATTACCCTCAATCAAAGATGTGATGTCGTGATGAGTGCTCTGACAACTTTGATGAAGGGCAGATTGATAGAATAAAATGGGAAAGATTTGTCTGGATCTGAATCTGGAGCTTTATAGGCGCTAGGAGAGCCTTTAGGCTGTTTGTGCATGTACTTGAGCTTGGCTATGCCATGTTTCTTTAGGTAAGGGTTGGTGGGTTAACTGGCCTGATGAAAGTAAGAGTGAAGTGAATGCTCTCTCTGCCCCAGTTAAATCGAAGCTGGGAGTCCATGTGAGCAGCGAGCAGACACATGCTATAATGGCACCTCACGCTTCAGATATTTGTTTTGACACACCAGGGTCCTTACTTGAAGTCATGGAACAATTTAGTTCTCCACATTCTCAGTCTAGGCCTATTTGATGAAAGGCAAAGTCAGGCTGTACATTTTTATTGCATCAAATGTGCTCTTAAACTCAAATCTATGAAGTTAAAAGGAGATTTAAATGGTTGGTTATGACACAAATGATTAAAAAGTCCAATATGTGGCCAAAAAAACATAGAAAGAAAATATAACCCATTTGGAGTTGTTCAGTCTATTGGACATACTGCTATTGGAGTCTGTGCCTACTTAACAAAATTGGATGCACTGGCCATGATCTTCCATTTTTAGACTTGCAGCATTGTGCAGCGTGCAGTGGTGTACTGTACTGTAAAAGTAGCCTAACAGATAAATGGTTTAAGTATGTTAGCTAAAATGAATGGATAAACATTTAAAATAAGTAGCTATTAGATAAATGGTTCAAATCATTAGCTAAAAGTAAAGGATAATGGTTGAGATAGATAGCCAAAAGTAAGTAGCTGACAAATCAAATAGTTAGCTAAATATAAGGGATAAATGGTTATTAGAGATTGTTACAAGTAATAGATAAAAAAAAACAGATTACTAAAAGTATTGGATAAAGAGATAGATAACGTTAGCTAAAACTGATAAATGACTGAGATGGTTACAGTTGCTAAAAGTAGTGGATAAATGCCTGAAACCTAAGCTTCAGCAAACTTGATCAAACTGACCTAAACAGTTCAGTTACATAAAAATATTGTAATAAAAGCCAATCATAAATAGTGTTGAATATGATCCAGTTTTAGATTAAATACACACATTTGACAGGTGGTGTTATTGGGTTGGGAAGTACATAGTAAAGGCCTACTGTATGCTGTTTGCTGTAGCATTTTAAGAGTTTTCTCTGTGTATTGTGCCCTCTAGTGGTTGCCTGGTGCTTTGTCTGTGCATGTCTGTCTTGACCCTGCTGCTACAGAGCCTCTGGGTGCCGCTTGAGATAACCAGGGATGAACCTGCTGGGAGGTCACCTGAGGAACAAGGTAACTTAAACACAAACATGGACACAAATTATTTAGTTTATTTTTTTTTTACATATTAATCTCCTAACATGAAGCATTGGTTAGGGAAATAGGACAGCAGGAGTATATATTTTGCAGAGATTTACTGTCTTCCCAGTGTTAGATGAAGCTTTGTACACAATTCGTGGTGGGTCCTCCCATGTGTCTGACAGTTGTGGGTTTGTGGCCAAGACATACCCCTGTTCAATTTAATTGTCTGGCTCAACTGTTTCCCTAAAGGAGGTTATTTAAGGGGGCAGTAGACAAGGTTGTTTGGGCAAAAGCTTTCCTCTTGGTTTACGAGGAAGAGACAAATGTTGTCAACACTCTCCTCCAGAGTATATTTTTCTGTAAAGTCAGCATTCTTTCTTATGAATAAATTAGCATATTCTGGCAGTGTGCCTTTCCCAAACTTCTTGATCTTGGAGCCATTTTTAAACATCATCAGAAGCACTTTGGAAATAGACTCTGCAAGCTCCAGTAAGGGTTTTCAGTGGTCCAGGTCAGTGGTCTGTTTGTTGCTTTTGTCAGGTATCTTGATGTTGCTGATAATGTTTTATTTTTCATTAGACCACAGATGTGATAAATTATAATCTCATACAGATGCTGATTCCTAATGCATACGATCTTTTGGAAGTTTCTTGATACAAATGAGCTTGATTCACTTTAACATAGCCGTCATGTGAGGGTTAATAATTAGATATACAGGTTTAAATTAAGTCTTTCACTTTTTTGTGAAAGACTTAATTAATGTGGCTACTGATTCTGTTTCAAAAAGTAATCATGGAAGATTACTTTTTATCTAAACATCCCAATCCCCTTTTTCTCATAATCTAGGGAAATTGTTTTTAGCAGACAATGCAACCCACTGGTGCATCTCAGCCACAGAGCCACAATTGCTTTGTGCTTTGAAGGACCCACCACGGGTTGTGTACAAAGAGCCACCCAGCAATGGTTGTATTGGAAACTGGGGAAGCTTTTGGTCAGCGGTTAATCCAGCTCAAATTTAACACAAAATCCTTGGTTTTCAATCAGTCTCTGTGAAGAATAATCCATCTGATCAAGTCATTCTATGTTATATTTCATCTTAAAATCAACTTTCCCATCACCGGCAGTGACATGGGATAATTTAAGTTGTAAAATCACTTATTTATTCTTATTTTTAAGAATAAAACCAGATAATAGGCAATCACATAAAACTGAATTTCCTCATTCCATTGGCAGATCTTCCATATAAAAAACAAATATCTTGACTGAATCAGTAGACTATGGTTATTTTTATTTATTTTTTATTATGTTATTTTATTACATTCACACCTTTACAAGAATTTTTTGGTCATATAGTTATCTCACACAGCTGGCATTAAGTTGTTGCAGGTTCCCACCTCTCCCGGTCATCTTTCATTGCACCTGTGCCCAAAGGGGCCCTGGGCATGTAAGCACTAGTGATATGCTGACAGTCAGCTGAGCAAACAGAGATGAAGTGACATCACCAGTCTGTGGGATTTTACTGTGTATAACAGGTTAAAGCTCTATCCCCAAGGAGATCCTTATTCTGACCTCAAATGAACCCTAACTCCACCAGCCTCCCTCCATTTCACAAAATAGAAAAAACACAGTGTAAGTTCTCTTTCCCTACGACTGTTTCCAACTGTCCCCGAGGTCGGTTAGTCACGCAACTCTTTTAATAGTCCTTTTTGCTTCATACAAATGTTTCAATCAGCACATCCTTGATTTGCCATCTCAAATATCTCTTTTAAGCCTCAGCAGTTGGCTTTTAAAAGAAAAACAGACATTCACTGTTTTTACAGTTATGGGTTCGGGCTAGGATGCTAACAGAGTCCTTTACTGTGAACACCACAACACGTCATACTGGATGCCCTATCAGAGCAAGTAGTGTGGCGCTTTCATTTAACATTGTTTGTTAAAAACTGTAAACAGTAACGATATATGTACTAAAGTAAAATCTATGTTTTTGACAGTGGGTCTTATGAAAGTGTGGATACCCATTTTTTTTGTTAAGGCAGTGGTTTCCAACCTGGGGGTCAGAACTCCCCAGGGGGTTCCAACATAAATCATAATACGAATACGAAAACTTTATTGTCCACAATGTGACATTTGGGAGTGAGGAGGCTGAAACCACAAAGCAATGTGACCACAGAGCTCCAGTTACATGGTTGGTAGAAATTATGACTCAGTACCATCTTTATCTGTCATAAAGTTGTCATTAAGGAAAATTCACCTCTGTAAAAATACCATTACTGTACCCCTACATGGAATATGGAAAACACACATAGCCATGCACATACGCATACTGCTGCTTCATGTGCAGCAGATCAGGTTAAGAAAATAGCATTACATAACCCTGCTGCTTTATGATACACAGAACAACATTTCTACAAGATTTGCTATGACATAATAAACATTATTACTACCTAAACATTATGATGGGGGAGCATATGATACTGTACATACATGACATACCATGTTCTATATTCTTTATGTCAAAGGTCAGCGTGGACTTGCCTTTCGTAGACTGGCTCTTCGCTTGGAGGCTTTGAGTACTCAGGTGCAGAGGCTGAGCAGAGAGAGAGGCGTCACCCAGCTGACCAGAGAGGATCTCAGTCTGTTACTGCAGAGGTATTCAACAGCATCTACAGTTCGAGTTCAGCTTATTGTGTTTGTTCATACAGTGTGGTTGCATGCTGGTTTCTGTTCCAGTTTTAGACAGGACCAGCAAGGTTTAGCCCACTTGGTAGAGAGGGAGCTGAAGAGAGTGTCTCAGAGGCTTGACCAGCTCAGCCGTCACCATCACCATCAATCACACACACCATCCCCACATGGTGACCTCAGACTACACACAGGTAAAGCCCAGACTTTTATGTTATTTTATTACTTTTGGGGGAATTTTGATTTTACCTCCTAATAACCTCCTAATTAATATAATATACTAAGATTGTTAAAAGAAGTGTGAAAAGTGTGAAATCTGAACTTACGACATGATAACAGTAAACAGCATTATTACCAACCTGATATGAAAGAAACTAAAAGGATAAAAGATCAGTTGTCTGTGCCCACTTTTCATTTTTTCAGTTTTGTATATCGCTCTTTAGTTTGGATTTGTCATGTGTACATACCCAAAATTTACAAGGTTTAAATTAGTCTGACGGGGGCCCTATGGTGAGTTTTAGGCTGTAAAGACACATGTATGAGTTATTACATACAAATCTGGCCTGGTTTAGCTTTAATTTTACTATGTACTTTGCTAAAAGCGATTCATTGTCTCAACTAAAACAGAAATTTTAGGGTTTGTTCCAGTTATAATATGCTTTAACATTCTGGTTACACCAAATAAATACACCCCCCCTCCTCCCTGCATGTTGCCAGCTTGAATAATTGGCCAATTGCTAGCTTTTCTGTGGTTTACTGCTGTGGTAGTGTGATACCCTGAGCCAAATGCACGGTTCATAGCCTCAATAGAGGTTAACCACACAGTGAAATTAACAAGCTGTGATAATGGAGGGTGTGAATGGGGGGGTTAAAGGGCAGTGGGTGCAGGTGGTTATGGGGGATGAAGTCCTTGAATAGAAGTTTAACAAGTCCCAAAGAGCCAGTGCCGATAAACTGGCCGTGGGGAGGAAAAAAGTTTACGTCTACACTACGACCCTCCCGAGAGGTGTCAGGTGGGAGTCAGGTTACTCACCCTGGTTGGCACGCGAGGGGTCGTGTGTGTGTGTGTGTGTGTGTGTGTGTGTGTGTGTGTGTGTGTGTGTGTGTGTGTGTGTCTGTGTTGGCAATAGGGATGAGTGGGTACAAGCTTACCTCCCTTCTTGAAAAAGGGAATTCATGAAGCTTGGGCCACACAGACACCATTACCGTTCATAGGTGAGGGGTACACACTTGCACACACCTGCAGTATGCATACACATACCACCCGCATACACACAAACACACACTTCCCCATCACCAGCTTGTTCGCCCCCTACCCTCTTCCTCTCACATTACCTCACACCCATAAAATACGACAGAATTACCCAGGAGCCCTTTCACCAACTTGTCTACTCGTACTCTTGTTTTTGCAGAGGGAGCACTTTTTTTTTTCCTTTTTTGCTGCGCTCCTATAGCATATCACTGTTTTTAGGCTTTTACACCTTGGCTATGCCTACAGGTTTTCTTATCTTTTTTTCCCCTCTCTTTTCCTTTTTACTAGGTTGTTTTACATAGTTAAGGACTGTATATTTTGGCCCGGGCCAGCATTGTAAAAGGGTATGTTTGGTAGGAGGCAGGTGCGTCAGGTGTGTGTGTGTTCAAGTTGATTGACATTGGCTTGAGATGGTGGGGGGCTTACGGGAAAGGGCCTCAGAGAACACACTGCCTCTACTCTAATGCCTCTTACACGCATGGCAGCACTGTACATCGTGCTGATGGCTGCTATTCATTGTGAAGGTTTCGAGTTGAGAGGTTGTATATCAAAGTTATGATCCACTGTTCTTCATTACCCGCAGTGAGTTAACTCTACAATGTACTTCTTGTTACTGAAGCCAGAGTCGAGGCATAACGATGCATTCAAAATGGCCACATAAAGAAAAACTGTGTGACGGCTAATATCTTACCCATAGGGCCCAATGAGAAGTGTGAGGTGCCAATGGATCCTGCATATCCGGTGTGTGCGGAGAAAGTGGAGGTGAGAAAATGGAAATATATGTGGTAGCATGGTCTGTATGGCTGTGTGTGTGCGCTGTTGAAGTGCTTACTTCCACTTAAAGTTTAAAGTTTAATATTTAGTTCCAAGTATATGAGCAAGTTTGAGCTGCATATGGAAATACCATTTTAAAATAATGGGTACTACAACATTGTATTTACTTTATAGACTAGCTAAGTTAATATGCTTGATGAATTACTGTACATTTTTTGACTTTTATTTTGATTTAACATCTGTCTCTCTGGCAGTTTCTGCGGGCCCATTGGCAGTCAGACCCCTGTTATGCTTTTTATGGGGTGGATGGTACCACCTGCTCCATATTGACTTACCTTAGCCAAATAGAGGACTTTTGTCCCCCTCGTCTTGGAAGAAACCATTCTACGCTGCCATGGCACCAGAAACCTCTCTCTTACACGGATAAGGTACAGTCGCATCTCAAGTTCATGCCATTGAAAATCACTATACAATGAATGTGGGCTGATTAAGCTCATGATCTACTCAACTAAAACACTACTATAATTTATATAATACACTCACTGTTTCACACTATGATTGTACACAGGCTGAGATACGTACAACTCTGGGCCTGCTGTATGAGGTAATCAGCAACAACAGTGGTCCTGCTATGAACTTCATCCGGTCAAGAGTGGAAAGGATGTCTGAACGGTGGATACAGGCTGGTCTGAAGATGAGGCAGAGCAGCAACAAGACAATCTCGACACAGATGAAGGTATAAACCAGCAAGTCAACTGCGCCAAGCATCATTTAGTTTATTTTCTGACACATTGAAATTACCCCAACTTGTGTTTTTAAAAACCTTCCTGTGTGATCATAATGTTTACGCCAAAGGTTTTTAGTGTGTAGATATTCACTTTTATTTATTTTTTACATATGACACGTATGAATACAATATGAACTGGCTCTATAAAAGGTGGATTTTTGACCTATAGGTGCTGCTTTATCCCGGTGCCCTGGCTGGGAACGTTGGCCAGCGTTTTGAAGCCATGGTGAAGACAGGGGGTCCTCTAGGGGAGCTGGTCCAGTGGGCTGACCTTAGTGCCTGTCTGACAATCCTAGGCCACAACCTAACCTTCAGCACCTCACAGCACCAACTCCACAGGTTGGCACCACTGTGTTATACCACTAGTTACTTTCACTGAAGTGATGAGAAAGGTAAAAGATCAATGCTGAGTGATACTGAACAATTAGTGGTATGATGTGTGTTTATTGTGATTGGTCCAGCCTGATAGGTGCTGCTCCAGGCCGAGGCAGTTGTCCAATCCAGAGACCCCTGACCTTTGACCTCATCTACACTGACTACCATGGCCTTGCTCACCTTCATGCCGCCATGGGACTGGCTTTCCTGCATTACCAGTGCGACCATAGTTTTCTAAATACATAATTATGCTTCTGGTATATCAGTATTTTGCTACTAATTTAATGATATTACGTCTTTATTTTTCATTTATACAGTTTTAGACATTCATGCAATAAGCTGCAATTGTGTTTCATGGTGTTTGGGATAAAGACCTTTAATGATAAATGAATGAGATTATAAACCCTAACCTCTACCTATATATATATATATATATATATATATAAATAATGAAGTCACCATTATTAAAAAGGATTTATATTTTCAGAGTTACATGCTGTTGATTTGACCCTTCTTTCATCCTTTAATGTTATTGCTTTATAGTGTGACATTGTTTTTTTTTTTTTTTTTTTAAGTATATTTTTTGGGCTTTTATTACCTTTATCTTAGTGATAGCTGAAGATAGACAGGAAGGGGAAAGAGGGGGGGAGACACGCAGAGGGGGGCCGCGGGGGAAATCCCCCCCCCGGCCGCCGCAAAGAAGCACCCCCCCCACAGCCAGCTCTACCCACTGAGCTATCTGGGCACCCATGTGACATTGTTTTAATGTGTAGCCATAATGTGACTTTATTGCATATGTCAGTTTTTTTTATTTTTTTTTTTTTTTACATTTGTAGAAAAAAAAGAGTGTATCAGTGTAAGATACGTTTTGTAATTTTTATATGTTTTAATAATTTTAGGTGTCGCTTCAGAATCCTGGACTCGTTTGGCACTGAACCAGCCTTTAACTTGGGGCGTTATGCACGTATGCATGGATATAAAACACTGTGGGGCAGCTGGGGTCTGCAACCTCTGCAGTACATGACCATGTTCCGTAAGTTCATGTGTAAATGTATGTATGTGTGTGGGTGTGTGCATGTATGTAATCGTGCAAACATGTGATTCAGTGTGACAGTGTGTGTGGATCATTGATTCAGAAATTCACTTTTCAACACACGCACAAATGTATATCTTGCTGCTGCAGTACTGATCCCTCACATACACCCCTCTAAGCGTCTTCACAGTGGGAGGATTAATAGCTGAGGTTAAATAAACCTGGTGCCCAGACAGAGCTTTCATTCCAACACCTCTCCCTGTCATCTTTCCCACCCTGCCGGGAGATGGAGACAAGCTGGACACACTGGGCCTAGAGCCACCCTTCTTGCCTCAGCATGGAACACTGTTTATTTGTCCTGCTGAGGGGGAGAGAGGGATGGCTGTTAGCTGATGGTGGGGAGAGGGCAGAAAGAGAGAAAGACAGCAAAACAGAAACAAAGAGGAAGGAGAAGGAAAAGAAAGAAGCTTGAGAAAAGAGCGGGCGGGTGTTTATGCTTCTGTTATGAAATGGGGGGAGAGGAAGATAGTCGAAAGAGGGATTGTGCTGAACAAACAGGCAGACGAGGCAGAACTGTAAACAGCCAGCAAGGACACAGAAACCAACAAACAACATAAACTTCATTCCTCACAGCTTCCCATCAACACTCACATGTTGCATGATCTTGATCATATCAGTTTGTTGTTGCATATCTCTTCTAATCTGATAAATGAATGTGTTAGGCTGTGAACCAAGACAGGTGTAAGAGACAAGTGGGGACAAATGGACCTGAAATGTAGCCAGGAAGAAATCCTATGCGGCTGTTAATGAGGGGAGATTTGGAAAAAGTCTTTCAAACTAGTACATTGTGACAGGAGAGAATCACACACACACACAGACACACACACACATACAAACATTGCACATGCTTCCACACACACACACACACACACACACACACACACACACACACACACACACACACACACACACACCTTTTGCTGGCACATTCCTAGTAAAGTAAATACTCATCTTTCACACCTTCCTCAGTGTGTCGGAGGGCAGCAGGGTGGCAGCTGCCTATCCAAACAGCCAGACGTTAACCTCTGATATATGTGGAGTTCTCATTTCCTTTAACTGCTGATTTATACTGCACAGCATGTTTTTCCTCTCTCACAGAAGTTTAATCTTAACTGTTATTCACCTGTAATATTTTTGGCCTTTGCCTGTCCAAAAGTTAAAAATGTCACACAGTTTCTTTTTTATGTTGTCTTCAAGGAAGTGTGTGCGCAGGCGTTCACCATCTTTGATCATGTTTTGGTAAAATAAGCACTGAATTTAGGACACTTTTATTGCTCAAAAATCAAGCAGATTAATACTACTTAAAACTGTATCTTGAAATTGAATGAAGCTGAAGTCGTAGCCCCTCCGATTTTTCTTGTTGAATGCAATTTATTTATCGTTTTACATGTAAACTGCTCTGTGTTCTGTCATCTTTAGCTCATACTCCTGATAACTCCTTCCTCGGATTTGTGAGTGAGGAGGCGGTGAGGGAGGCGGTGAGGGAGGAAGAGCTGGAGTCGGACGCCTACAGGAAAGACAGGATAGCAGTCATCTATGGCAAACAGGACTACATGTGGCAGGTATAATGGCCAAAAGGTTAAAGTATATGTATGAAGAAAGACTGTAAGGTAGCAATAAACATGTCAAGAAGCCAGCTACTGCACGGTTTTACTTGATACTAAACATTTCACAAAAACGGATTAGTGTTTTTGTACATGCTATTCTTAAGCCTACATACACTGTTTTATGATGTGTGTGTTTCTGTACGTCTGTGTATATACTAGGGTAAATCTGAGTATGTTGAGGTAATCAGTGAAGAGCTGGAGACCCATGCTACAGTCTACCAGCCTCCAGGGCACAAATCTAATCTGCCCAGCTTCATCAGGAACCACGGCCTGCTGACTCAGGAGCACTTCCTGCGCCTTCTCCGTAGAGCCAAGGTCAGATAAGAGCTCATCTCAAAGTAAAGCTATGAAGCCGTTGAATCAGAATCTTTTAAGTGCATCTATTGTATATGTTTATCCTGCCTGTCCTTATGTTTTCTTGTGATTCTCCCTCTCAGGTGTTTGTAGGCCTTGGGTTCCCCTATGAGGGTCCAGCTCCCATTGAGGCAATAGCTCTGGGCTGTGTGTTCCTTCAGCCACGATTTGACCCACCACACTCATCAGACAACAATGACTTCTACAAAGGCAAGCCCACTACAAGACAGGTAGGTAACTACTCAAACTGAAAGAAAATGACCGTTTGAATTGGGTATAAATATTGTACATCAATTTTTAGATCTAAAGACAGCAAATAACTTTGGCTCCCAGATCTCCTCCCAGCACCCGTATGCTGAAACATTCATTGGCAAACCCCATGTGCGGACTGTAGACATAACCAACAAAACCGATGTACGGGAGGCAGTCAGAGCAATTCTACGCACAGAGGTGGTGTATAAACATGTATATAGACATACACCTTGTAATCCCATAAATTTTGGTTACAGTAGCACTGAATAAAAGTGTGTGTGCATGTTTTTGCAGGTGAAGCCTTTCAATCCACGAGAGTTCATGTATGAGGGAATGCTGGAGAGGGTTCATGGTTATATCACTCACCAGGTACAGAGATGTAGCCTTGCACGGTAGTTTTGCAGTGTTTTTTGTTGCTCCCTGAACTAATTAGACTCCTGAAGAAGCTTGATTATTGACACTGGCCTGTTTTATGCAGTGCATTACGAAGTGTGTGAAAAAAAGGGTGTGGAAACCATTACAAACCTGTTAACTGATATATAGCTTTCCAATACATAAGGCTGATACTGGCCTTTTATGAATTTATCCACTGTTATGGTGAATGTTCCTCTCAAACTACATCTATACCTCCATCGAAATTAACTTTGCAAACATTACTTCCAATTGTTCATTTAAAAGGCTAATATGTTTGTAATTGTCTGACCCAACACATAATATGCAGGTTCTTGCTTGGTTCAAACTCTCTGCATTATCAGCTTTCTTTATCTTAAATCCCCCCAGAGTTTCTGCAGTAAATCTGTCCCTACTTGGCCACCAGAAAGTGCTCTAAAGGTGCACCTGGGTCCCCTCGGCCAGTCATGTGTGAGTGTGTGTCAGCGGTCCTCCCACGTGTGTGAGCCTGCTCTCTTTCACCACCTAAACAATCCCGCTGCATTCACCAGGTGAGAAAACCACAGAAAGTTTAATTTATACATGTTAAGAGGAAATTAGGAATGACAGGGCCTTTATATTGTCTGTGTACTTACTGTAAGATACATGCATATGCTTTAGGCTACTATTTCTGCTGTATGTAGATTGCCCCTATGCACAAATAAATACATTTTAATTTCCTATTTTGTAGGCTTGGGATAAGTTGCTCCAGCATGGGGCAGGAAGTCAACCACCTGTTTCCTTCCTATAGCCCTTGGGGCCAACACTGCGGCCTTCAGCAGGAGCCTCTGCTGTTCAGTTGTGCCGGCTCTGATCCTTCTCACCGCAGACTGTGTCCCTGCAGAGCTTACCTACCTGGACAGGTGGCACTGTGCCCTGACTGCCTTTAAAAAACACTGGGAAAGAACTCAGAGAGTAGCGGGAAGATAAGTGGAAAAAGATAATAAAATGAAGGCGGCACCAAAGAGCCATCTATAGGTAAAGAACTGATCTCAACCAAATAGAGCCAGCCGTCCTGCCAATGCTACTAAAACCTTTGAGGTCTTGTTTTGTGGTGTGCACATTGATATGAGTGAAAATCAGCCATTTTTAGTGCCCCAGTTATCTGAAGGAATCATCTCATTCAGCATCCCTGGCATTTATTTTTTAGTTAATTCATTACGAACATATCAGAGAGTGGACATTGGTCGGGCGACAATTAATCAATTTATATGAGAGAAGTTGTGCCAACAAGACTTGGTTTTTTGGACAAGATTTTGTTTTTTTTCATGTCAGTCATTACTCAGGAACAAAAACTTAATGATTGTCATTTCACAAGTACTTAAACTGTTGAAGGATGATGAATTCAAGGCCTGGTGTCTCATAGCGCAGAATAAAATCCCTCTTGTTTTTGTAGCTTTTCCTTGATCCCTTAAGCAAATAGTCTTTAAATGAAGCTAAGATGCACTTTAGGGAAAAGGTGTATTTGAATGAATATAAGTGACTCTAAAGCCATATAATTCTCAGTGTTTAACTTGTCTTCTCCTGCTCCAGATCATAGTACAGTGCACTTCAATATTATGCTAAATAAGTATCTAATCATTCATTTGCTTACAGTAATGTATCACACTGGTCAGCGTTGCATGGGATTACTGCTCATGTAACCCCTCAGTGCATTCCCAGCTACAAATATTAGCCCTGGGCCTCGGAGGAGAACGGGTGACAGCCTAAGTGATGAGGCTCATTATCTGAGTGAATCATGGATAACCTCTAGATGCCTTTGGGAGGTCACAGCCATATAACCATGATTATACTGTCATATAAACCATTGGTTCCCAACCGTCTTTGAGTTAGGAAACCCCCTCAGCTCTGTTTAAATCCATGCCCCCCGCCAGTATAGGCAGAACCTCATTGTTTGTCTTTTAAACACATATTTTGCGTCATTTAGTCACTGAAGGCAGGATTAATTATGTTTTCTCGAGTTATTTTACTAGAAATTAAACCTTAAATGATTTTGATCATAACAGATGACTCATTTTGTCCAGAGTTCTTACATTTGCTCCAATATTATTCCTTGACTGCCTCATGACCTACAGACACTTAGAGCCCCTCAAGGATATTTTGCACCCAGGTTGAAAGGAACAGCGATGGAAACTTTACATACAATATATACAGGGATTTAGCTACTTAGCTAAGATAGATCTCACAACAGAACATTTCCATTTCAGAAGCCACAAGTGGTCACACAGACTTATCCCATCATCTTTGCCTGTAAAACAGCTTGTGAAAGAAACAAATGATAACAACTAAAGGCCAAACTACAGCCCACAATCAGTGTTGTAAGTGATGGGGTGCTGGACTTACATGGTGCAGCTGTTAGCAAAGATGTCTCAAACAATGGCAACAAGCTGCTTTTTTGAATTGGATCAATGTTTTTCTTGGAAATGACGCACTAACGTGGATGTTAATTGGCAGGCATAGAGACCTTTTCCACCCCGATACACTCAATGTGACCAGAACATATTGTCACTCAGGGATCAGACTGCTCAGGGCTGCAACGACAGGACCGGTTGACAATGTAATTGACTAGTAAATGCCTGTGAAACGGTCCATGAAAACAACATTTGTAATGACTTTGGTGAATTCTGGTGAATTCTTTTGACCCTGTCAAATTTGACTTTTCCTTAATTAGCTTAACGGTTTCAATGATGATGGAAATGAACTTGTGTTTATGTCAAAAGGTTTGGATTAAAGGAAAATAAAAGTAGCTTTTGACGCAGAGGGACGTCTCTGAACCAAATTTTTGGAAAGTGATGTGTCATTTCTGAATGAGTCATGTTAATTCATATCAGTTACATGTGTTAAGACATATAAAAGCTGTCACTCACCTCCCAGGAGGCCGATGGCAGAGGGTTCAAACTAAGGGTTTGAAAACAGCGCAGAGTAGATATGGAGCAAATCTGTAAATGTGGACAGACAAAGGTTTTAGTGTTCCACACGACTGCCTACTGACCTCATAATGTATGGGAGTGCCGTATTTAATACAGTGAAGGTTGCTTGGCATATCAGAATAGATAGATGGATAGATGGATAGATAGATAGATGGAAAGATAGATGGATGGATAAATCAGAGTATGGATGCCTGCACAAAATGTCATCTTAATCCATCCAATAGTTGAGATATTTTAGCCTGGACCAAAGAGATGGACTAACCGACAGTTAGTTGCCTTCCATAGAGCTATGCCACTAGCATTCCTAAAAATACTGGACTCTGCATGCCACCTCTGCACGTTGAAATAACGATCAGACGGTTAGAAAATAAGGGATGATTGATGGTGGAGGAAAAAAAACGAAAACCCTTGAGAAAACGAGAGAGGAAACATGAACCTGTGTCAGGGTCAGCCAAACATCATGGAATGTTCATGCTCCAGTAGAGGTTCAATAATGTTTGTCTGAGTGCTTTTTAATTTTACATGAGAGACAGGAACTCTTTGAGCCACATAGGGACTCTTTCTCCTATACCTTTTAACTATGGAATGTGGTGGCAAATCAAACTTCACTGCCAAGAAAAATGAGGGATCTCACAGAAGAAAGCAATGCGAGGAGAGCTTTTGAATTCAAACTTTAACGTGTCATGTCTGTCATTTTATATGATATGCTAGATAAGGATTTATTCTAAGAAACCTCATGCTAAAGGGAAGTGAGATAAGAATTTAGAGTTTTTTTCATACATTATTGTTTTAAATACATTATTAACTTACTTAAAAGTTGTGGATGACAAAGTTTACATTTAGTCCTGAATAACTGACTTGGCTGTGTCAACTTCAAGTTACATAATCGGAGGAATATTATAGACATAACTCACCCATGGCCTCAATCCTGAGAGTTACTGGAAAATGTTGCAACCTCCAAAAAAGTTGCTGTATTATATTTGCACGACTGTTTACTATCAATCACACTGTTTACGCAAGTTTCCCAATGCACTTCTCGTGTCCACTCAAACGCCACTTCAGGCCGAATGAATGCCCTCTCATTTAATTTGATTTCATGCCCACTTTTTTTTCTTTCTAACACCTTTCTTTACATCCCTTTTGTTCTCACTCTTGTCTCACATTTCTCACTGCATCTTTATCCGTCCTTCTTTCCCATGTGATAATCAATGTTGAAATGATTTCAGACTGATCAAGTCTGTTGTGAGCTGAAAAGAGAGATTTAACTACGAAACTTGGACAAGATGTACCACTCTAGATCTTTTTATTACTTAAATGCTAGGGACGAAAAGAATAAAGGGTCTTGGTATAAACAATTGGTTTTGCTGGTGTCTCATGTGATGAAGACTTCTAAATGCAGATGGGTGTAAACAGTGACTTTAAGAGGAACATATTAGTTTAAATCACTGCATATCTTTGAATTACCTCCAAGTTTGCATTATACTGATATGTATTTCCTGTATGTATTTCTAAAATGGCATGTGCTAAATAATTTCATGGCCCATATATTACTAGTCCCAGGAACCTCTGCCTCTTTGCCTCTCCGGCTTTGTTGATTTGCAACAGCAGGTTGTTCCCTACAGGGGGCAGTGTGGTCAAGCTAAACCAGCTGGCACTGGAATAAGTCCCATCATAGCAGTTAAAACCTCAGCGACCTGCTTAGGAAACGAGTGGCAGAGATGAAAACAGAGAAATGAAAAAAAACATCCAATAGAAAAGAGATCTTTACATGTCAAACAAGAGAAAATAAAGGGAAATAGAAGTACTGTAGATGTATTAGGAGAAATGGAGACACTTGCAATGTTCTACAGGTAGTTGTGCGTTTATTCCACCCTACACAAAAGTGGGGAGGGAGGAGAGCGGCTTAACTACCATAAGAAAGCAGCTGCTTTTATTGAAACCTGTTATTGGCGTGCCAAGATTACACTGAACAACAACAACCCTCCTCCCTGGAAGCCAATAAAATGCCGACAACAAACACTTGGCTTGCCTACAGCGCTGTTAGAAGCCACAGAGGTTGGCCTTAATGATACTTGGTAACTATTACAGACTATTAAACTAAATGAATAAAAGAGGAAAAGAGAGAGAGAGAGAGAGAGAGAGAGAGAGAGAGAGAGAGAGAGAGAGAGAGAGAGAAGGGGGAGAGGAGCAAACAGTGATCCCTTAAGAAGTTGTTTCCAGACATAATGTAGGTAGCTGACTCATTGTTGGGCAACCTTAAAAAGATGAACTACTTCAGTGTGTGTGTGTGTGGACTGTGGAAGTTGGTTTAGCTGTTGAATGAAAAAGTGTGTCTTTTTGTGTCTGCCTCAAGACAGATAAAATGGCAAAAGTGCTCTGCCTGATGTACTGTTACATCCATCAGCAACACACACTACAGGCCAGAGAGCTGTTGTATATGCTTGAGCGGTTGAGGCATGGCACGGTCCTTTCCGTGATTTTCCCCAAACGTTTCGTGTCAGTATTCCAGCGATCTCACCACACCTGAGTAACTCTGAGGCAGACATGATCCAGTCCATGTCTCCATGTGTGCCTCTATGTGTGTGTGTGTGTGTGTGTGTGTGTGTGTGTGTGTGTGTGTGTGTGTCCAGAATGCTGCTTATCCCATTGTATTTATGTATGTATTCAACTGAAAGCATTTTGTGACCTCTAGGGGACAAGAGAGGTCATCCATGCAGACTGAGATCTTAGCAACAGTAGCCAGAAGATTAAATGTGATATCTGAAGTAATTTCTAAAACATAAAATACTCACATCATTTTTCAGGTTCCATTCGTGCCTATGCTGCTGACAAAGATTTTTGAAAGGAAAGCTTGGGAGAGAGATCTCTCATTTTGTGCTGAACTGGTCCATCCCTCCAACCCAAAAGCTACATAAGGGAAAGTTGTGAAGAAACACAGAGCTACCAGCTAGCCCCAAGAAAGCCCTTGTCATCTTTCATCCCACACCTCTGAATTGCCTTCATTTTCTAGGGGCCCATAAATTGGCTCTTATTGTCCCATAAATGGCTCCTTTTGGGGTGGGATTTATAGCCAGGGGTGGCAATGGGGTGTGTTTGTGTGTGTTGTGTGTGTGTGTGTGTGTGTGTGTGTTAAAACCCACCTTTTGATGTCCCCTCTGCTTAGCAGGCAGTGCAGACGCGCCTGCCCACATGCTGCACGGTGCCTTTGCCACACACTGCTAGCGTGAGACTCTCACACACAGGCACATTAAAAGATATTAAACTGCTTTTCTGCTTTCATTCAGAGTCATGGGATGTAACAGCCAAGCAGGGTGGTTCCTGTTAAGCGGTGCCACTTCCTCAGCTATAATTAAAGCTGCCCATGCAGGGGGTCTCTAAAAGTCTTGTTTTGTTACACCCCTGATTCTGACCTTTTAAAAAGAGAGGATGGAGACTTTTTCTAACACAGTGGAACAGGTTAAAGTAGTACAAGCTGGAGTTTATTTCTGGGTGGTGATGTGTTTTTTCTGTAGTTTTAATAATTAGTGTCTCACAAGCATTTGACAGGTGATGACCAAATTTATCAATTTAAACTAACAAAAAATTATGTTTACACAGCTTCAGAAATATTACAGTGTTTTTCAAAGATCACAGATCTGGAGACCTAAAGGCAGACATGACATGTGTCATAAAAATACAAATTAAAGCTAAAACCTACATTCATTCAACCTTTATTTATACCCAAGAGCTCACTGAGGGGTGACCCTCATTTACAATGACACTGAGTCAATTTACAGAAACAAAGAAATATAATAATAAAAATAAAAATAAAATAATTAGCTAATGTAAAGTCTTTAAAATGTTAAAAAGTATAAGAGTTTGCAGATCATCTATGTTAGGTGTCTTGCAAAGATGTTGGTCCACCATTGGTTGGCAGGTGGAGGCACTCGCTATTACACAATGAAATACATCTGTGCAGTTGGTGTGGTGCAAGATAAAGATAATCCACAAACTGCAAGACGGCAGGTCCACTATCTCTTCAAGCCAGTGTTTGTAATGTAAAGAACAAACCACAGTGTGAGCTAACTAGCCTAGTTGCTAAAGGTTGTTGCCAGTGTTACCAATTAAAAACAGCTGCATTGTCCATAGATTCTCCAACACTGCTGAACTGTTTACCCCATTGGTTCAAAATCTACAATACAGTAGGTGTTCAACTGGGTTCAAAACTGGTGACAGTGAAGGCCACAGCATATGTTTCAAATTATTTTCATACTCAACCATCGAGTGGCCCCCTCTGCTCTGAAGAGAAGCATCTGCATTGGCCATGTTATTTCTCCCATTTAGATATTTCTTTCTTTTCTTAGAGTCAAGAGTGAGAGGGCAGTCAGACCAGACGTGTAGAGCCAACCCAGTCTAAGCCAACACAGACAACCTGACAGAAAGTGATAGTTGTCCTTTATATAGCCCTGTGGTTTATAGAGCAGCTGGGTTAGCAGTTGACTGGGTCAAGTGATGAGCTGAGATGGGGAAACTCAATAGTGCCCCCTAGCGGGCAGGTAGAGAATGTCAATACAATGGTTTCTGTAGATGGCACATCTGTTTGGTGACAAAATGTTCTCCTGGTTATCTTTCTTTTGTTTCTAAGACATTTATTCAGTTTTTGTTAATGTTGCTTTCCCTGTTCACTGAGTAAGAATCCATTTGTCCTTTGTTTTTCCTCATCTCCCCTCCTTTCTTTCACTCACACCACCTCTCTCTTTTCACTGCCTGTTCAATCTTTTTTCCTTTTTTCTGCCCATTTCTCCCTCTCTCTTTCAGAGGCAGGCAGATGAGCCAGGTGATAGTGACACAGCCAGCTGTGTGCCAGTTA